TCAGGAGGTAGGCACTCATTAAAATGTCTCTTGATCGATCACAGTTGCAGTGAGTGACTTGCACCCAGTGATTTTAGTGTTTTTTCCACACACCCTGTTATCCCGAGGACATTAGTGATGACACAGTATGTACTATAGTGGACAGCATCATTGATCCTTAAACGTAGGGAAAATAGGAAATATTAGAATAGGAAAACTCAAGGAAAATGAGTTTAAGGAAAATAGGAAAGAATAGAAGAATATAGGGAATTAGAGTTTTGGTATTAGTGGCAGACCCTTTGTACCTCGTCACTTGATGTTAATGAGGGGCTGTAGCATTTTTAAATTATTTTAAGGAAACTAGGAAATGATAGAAACATATAGGAAGTTAGAGTTGATCTTAATGGTTGGCCATGTCTCATCTGGGCACTTGATGTTAACGGAAGGTTTTAGCATTTCAGGTAACTCCAGGTAGAGTTGATGAAACCTCTGTACTGTTTTGGAATGAGGAAGCCTCCACCCCCCCGGCTGTGCTGGTCTACCCATCCATTATTGGTCCAATCATGGCATCTCTATTTCTACTCTTTATTTTGACTACAGGAAATCTGTAACAAACAACCTGTGCTCTCCTTTGCGGTGGTAAAGTGTGTCAGGGGGAGCGGTAATTCCAGTCAATCATGATCATTCTCTCTAATCCCAGGGTGTCTCTGCAAAACCTCTCATGTACTTCAGCTTATCTCACATCATGGCTAGTGAACAAGATCTAGTCATATGTCTGGAGTGGTCAAGAGATACAGAGAATAGAAGGTTGAAGGAACTGGGGATTTTTATTGAGTTTTTGTCAGTGGTGGTGGCTAGGCAGTGGAGTTAAGTGACTTGCCCAGGGTCACACAGCTAAGTAATTGTCAAGTATCTGAGGCTGGATTTGAACTTGCGTCCTCCTGACTCCAGGGCCGGTGCTCTATCCACTATGCTACCTAGCTGCCCCGAACTGGGAATTTTTGGCTGGAGGCAGAATAGACTTGGGCAAGAAGGCTGTCTTCAGTTTTGTGAAGGTTCTTCTTTGGACATACTCTGCTTGGCCTAGGAGGACAGACCTAGGGGCAGAGGGTGGAAGTTGCAGAGAGGCAGATTTAATCATGATGTTAGGAAGGGAATTAGAACTCTCCAAAAGTGGAATGTGCTGCTTGAGGGAAAGGTGGATTCACCCTCGCTTCAGGGGAAGGCCAAATGACCTTTTATTGGGGATACCATAGAGAGGATCTGTCATGAGGCATAGGCTATGACATCTGAGACCCCTTCCAACTCCGGGAATTCTCAAAGTGGTCCCTTGACCCAGGTTATCCCCTCCTGCCTAGCTTAAAGATGCCAGTGTGATGACCAGTCTGCAGTTTTTAAAATAGGTCTTCCCCAATAGGATGTTATCTTGGAACTTTAAATATATGTATATATGCTATATTAAACTGCTTTAGCTGATGTTTTACTTTAGTTAATGTTTTAATTTGGAACTCGCTCCCTAAAGGGATTTTTTTGGTGAAAGGTATGATTAACAAAACATCCACATATATATGTAAATGGTAAGGGAATACAATGGGGAGAATGCAATTTTGCCCTATCAGCATATGAATGATTTAGAGAACTAGGGTTCCCAGAGTAAATATTTTCTGTTCCCAGTACTGTGTATATGAATGTCCTCTGTTAAACCCTCTGTTAAGCCCATCTGTCCATTAGGCAGTTTCCTTTTAATTAATTATATTTAGGAACTAATTGTTCAGGAATGTTGTTGTTCAAGTTGTTTTTAGTCATGTCTGAGTCTTCATGACCCAATTTGGGGTTTTCTTGGCAGAGATATTGAAATGATTTGCCATTGCCTTCTCCAGCCCATTTTGCAGATGAGGAAACTGAGGCAACCGGGGTTTAGTAACTTGCTCAGAGTTAGGTAATAGTAGACTTGTACCCACTCTGGGATTGTGAAGAAAGTGAGCTTCTACTTTTGGGGCAAATGGTTTCTGTGATATTGCCTTTATTGTCAGTTGTCTGTGTTAGACTGTAAGCTTATTGAGAGATGAGAGTTAAATATTTAAATTGCTCAGTAGCACAATTGATAAAGTGTAGGGCGTGGAACTGGAAAGATTCACTCTTTGTGAGTTCAAATCTGGCCCAAGACACTTACTAGTTGTGTGACCCTGTTTGCCTCAGTTTCCTCATCTGTAAAATGAGCTGGAAAAGGAAATGGCAAATCACTCCAGTATCTTTGCTAAGAAAAAAACTCCAAAATGGAGTTATAAGGAGTTGGACATGAATTAAATGACTAAACAACAAAAACCACCCTGATTATAAGATACTTTTTTTGGGGCAGTCAGTAAGACTCATCTTCATCAGTTCAAATCTGGTCTTAGAACTTCATAGCTGTGTGACCCAGGGCAAGTCACTTAACCCTATCTGCCTCAGTTTCTTCATCTGTAAAATGAGCTGGAAAGGAAATGGCAAACCACTCCAGTGTCCTTGCTGAGAAAACTGCCCAAAATGGTATCTCAAGGAGTCAGATATGACTGAAATGATTGAACAAAGAACATGCAGCATAATGCTACATAGAGTACATGCAGTTTCTTATTGTACTAAGCTAATGTTTAGTGATGGTTTACATAAGCCCTTAGGAAATTTATTGTTCTGGTCATTCTTCAGTTCCATGTATTTGCCTCCCATTTTATTGATTTTTGCAGTTTCATATCTTTTGCAGCAGTGGGAAGCTCAGGGAGTATTATAATGAAACAACATTGATATTACAATGAAAGTGTCAGCTTCTGTCCAAATTGATCTCTGTCTCAGATTCTGTCTCTTTTCTCTTTCTCTCTGTTTAAAGGAATGTTATGTATCAACTCCTTCCCCAGGAACTTCCTAATCATTCACTGATAAACCTTTGTTGTAGTCAGTTAAAGAAAAAAGCAGTGTGATATAGGGGAAAATGCAGTCAGGGAATAAATACTTGGGTTTAAATAAAACAGACCCTTTCTCAGCAGTGCGATCAAGAGCAAGGCACCTGCCTTCTCTGAGATGCCTCATCTTTAAAACAAGAGATAATGATACCTGTAGTGTTTACTACTCCATAGGCTCATTGAGAAGATCAAATGATGAAAAGTATTTATAGGGCTTTTGCAAACCATAAAATGCTGTGTAACTGTCAGCTATTAAAGGAGGAAAAAACCAGTGTTATTAGGTGACTTGCCTAGCATTATAGAGCTGGTGTTGAAACTCTGGCTGTCTGTGAAATCAATTAGGATGATTCTTTTAAATTTTGGCTGAGTTAATAATAATTATCATTATCATTATTATAATAATATATCTTCTCCCCTCCCCTGACTCTTCTAGTCCCTCCCTCCCCCCACCCCACCCTCTCTTACTGGCAAGTTGGGTTCACAGAGAGCAGAGTATTACTGTTCTCTTCTAGGTGCTAGGAATAACCCTGAGGGATTGGAGGCTTCCAATAATGTTGCTCAGGAGTCCCCACTGGGTATACCACCCTGTATCGATCAGCCATTTGACATCAAATAGCTTTTATAAGGTGATATTTACTGAGATGGCATAGCAAGAATTATAGTTACAAAATAATTCAGTAAACTGAGAAGCACATGCCCCCCTGAGAGACCCTGGTCGAATTTAAAGTATAAACTTGTATGTGGAAAATGTGGGGCTGAGGAGTGCCTCTCCACTCCTGGCTTTGGAAGGCCTTTTCTCCCTTTGAGGAGTTCCCACTGGTTGGGGCTGATGAACTAGTTATCCCCTGAGCCAGGCTGCCTTCTTGAAGGGCCTGGTGTTTTGACAGAGGGGCCAGGCCACTGCGGGGCTGAGCCAAGCCAGGTTGGTCAGTGAATATGCTGGGTCCCTAAATGGACTTGGTTGCTCCTGCCGCTATTAACTCTAGTTATCAGTGAGACTCTCCGATAGCGCTTTCCAGCTCACGGATCACCTAGGTACTTTCATCTCAGGATGCTCATTCACAGGAAAGAGTAAGCATAAAAGAATCCAGAGGCACCATCGACCAGGTAGAGGGGGAGGCAGATAGTTAACCTGATAGTAAACATTTATTAAATTCAGGGGTTACCGAGAGAGGCAAAAGATGGTCTCTGCTGTCAAAGAGCCCACAGTCTAAATGGTGAGACACAATGCAGACAACTACAAAAGGGAAGGGTATGTGGATCCTTTTGTGCCAGGGTTCAGTTCTGGCCCCAGTCCCATTTGAGTTATCGTTCCTTCTGACTCTTCAACCAACCACAAAACGCTTCTTCACCATATAGCACCTGCCGCCCTCAGTTGCTGTAGGCAGCCACGTGTTATACAGAAACTACCCAGACGACATTTCTCATGCACTTTAATACCAACTAGGGAGGGTACACCCAAGCCCTCATTGGTCAGCCCCTCCATTACAACAATAATAGCTAACATTTCTGTATTAACTTTAAAGTTTCCAAAGTTCTTAAAATATATTGTCTTGTTTGATCGTGACAACAACCCTTTGAGGTAGATGATACCATTATCCACATTTTACAAAGTGACTTGTCTGGGGTTGTGCTTCTGATAAGTAGCCTAGGCAAGACTGAAACTGTCGTCTTCCTGACTCCCAAGCCCAGCACTCTATCCGCTACGCTGACTATCGTGTGAATGGTGGGAATCACCTCTTGGTAAGATGGCGGCAGCCTATCCTGAGAGCTGGATGAAGTTATGAGTTTGATCATGTTCTGTTCTGTTTTAATGAAATGACCCCAGGATTTCTCATGCCTAGGGAGTCTTCATTAGTCAGAGTACTTTACATTTTACTACTACTACTACTACTACTACTACTACTACTACTACTACTACTACTACTACTACTACTACTACTACTACTACTACTACTACTACAACAAATGCAGTAGGACAAGATTTCCTCTTCTGGAGAAATAGGAAATGTGTCAACTTGATGAACATGTCCTAAATACATGACTCTGTTGTCCTGAGTGTTGCCTTTTTTTTTATTTTTAAAGGAAACTCTTTCTACAGGATGAAATAGAGAGCAAAAGATAGTTTTCCTTGAATGGAGAGCAGTGTGTCTTTGGTTTCCAACATGCAAGAGACTTCACATTTGTCATTGGAGAAATGTAACAGTCCAGCCAACGGTAACAATGAATATGATTCAGGTGAGTTGATTTATCCAGGTTCATTTTACTATTTGAGTTACAAAATCATTATGTTTTTTTTTTTTTCTTGGAATGGGAGGAAGATAATTCCAGTTTTATGTAACTAAATTGAGCAATCTTTTTCAAACTCACATATTGCCCATTTTGGATGGTTTGCTTTCATGTTTTTAAAAGTATGCCTTTAGAGTTTTGCAAGCTGACATTTAAAATTACCTTCACTCCCAAATCTGAGAACATCTAACATGAAAAGTAATTAATAATTTATAAGAAAGTTAAAAGTTGCAAAATTTGCAATGAATCCTCTTTCCTTACTTTTCTTCCCCTCCACACCCACCCCTCCTCTAACCATATAATCTAAGAGGAAACGTCTTCATTTGAATCCTAGCATTTTTCATATTAATAATAAATGATATGGAGCTGAGGGAATAGTTTCAGGAAGGCTAAAGTCTAGAATGAGCTGAAGTTCCAGGAAGAAGCTAGGGATAGCAAAAGGACCTATCTTTAAAGGGTATGTTCAGAGCAAATAGATTTTCGGGAGAGCTGGGTCCACTGTTGAGAGGGGGTTGGTGCAATGATAGACAGCAGAGGGAAAGCAGACAATTACCCAATTTCTATTTTGGTTCTGTCTTCACTATCTAGGAGAAAATTATGTAGGTAGGAAATTTAAGCCCAGGCTAGGTGAAGAGATAGTAATAGAACACCTGACTATTTGTGAGTAAAAGTTTGTTGGTGCAGGCAAATTATTTCTCAGAACACTGAATGAACTTGTAGATGAGCCCACTGAATTGGTGCCACTATTCTCTGTGTAATTGTGGAGAATGAATGAGTTTCCAGAAGGCTGGAAACAGTCATATATTGTCCTGGTTTTTAAAAAGGTGGGTTCTAGATGGCAAAGTGATAAATGGAATTGAAGTCATAGTTCCTTGATTTGAATTCTGGCTTTGTCACCTCCCTGGAGCTCGGCTTTCTCTTTTGTATAGTGAGGCAATTGCACTGCCACTAATTGAACTACGTGACCCTCAAGGTCATTTCCAGTTCCACTATGAAAATTGTAGATGGTAATCTTGACATCAATCCCTAGAAAAATTTTGGAATGGGTTGTTAAAAATGAATGGCTTGTAGACACTTAAAGATCCTTGAGGTCCAGCCGGGATTTGTTCCCCAACAGGAAGTAGTTCATGCTAACTTCATTCCTTTTTTGATGAGGTCTTTAGACTGTTAGATTAGGGAAATGCTCTGAGAAGGCAGTGTATGGATTTCAGCAAGACATTTGACAAGGTTCTTTCATGAAATCCTTATGGACAAGATGAAGAGACTGTGTGAAGGGTATATAGCCCAGGAAATGAGGTTTCTAAATGAGAGTTGATTAAATGGATCAATGTCAACTTACAGGGAAGTCTAATGATATGTCTCGGGGCTTTTGTCTTGGACAGATCTTGCTGAACACATTTGTCAGTGACATAGATAAAGACATAGGATTATCAAATTTTCACAGAACACAAAGATGAGAGGGGTAGCTAATGTGTCGGAAGAGAAAGTCAGAACTCAGAAGGACCGTGGCTGGATAAAATAAAGGCCTGAAACACCATCTGTAGAAGGGACATTTTGAAACTGGCTGATAATTTGTTAAATTTTCAGTGTGACAATTTACACCTTGGGAATCTGCAAAGGCTGCAAATTGGGCTTGTTTTGTTTTGTTGATTGTCTAGCTACTTAAGAAAGTGATGGATAAAATGTTAATTAATAATGCTGATGAAACTTATGGTAGGTAAATTTTTTGGGGAGAGGAAGAGCTGGTTGTTAAACATTTACTAGCATACCCTTGCTGTGGAGCTGTAGCAGTGAGGAAAAAAGAACAGTGGAGACAAATTCCTCTCCCAGTGGAAATTTCTAGAAGAATTCCTTTTTGACCGAATCTTTAGGAATGATACAATCAGGCCGAATATCTCATTAATGCTATTTAACGTCTCTTAGTTCCTTAGTTCTAGGGCTACAACTTATAGGAGGCCTTTCTGGAACCGCTGTCCCATTAACCTTCCCACTCCTGTGCAGTGAATAGAAGCCTGAGCCCTGAGTTCTAAGCCAGCCTCAGACACTTTGCTAGTTGTGTGACTCTGGGCAAGTTACTTAACCTGTTTGCCTTAATTTCCTCATCTGAAATGTGAATAATAATAGTATCTGGCTGTTAGTTGTAATGGGGCAGCTAGGTGGCACAGTGGATAGGGTGCCAGGCCTGGAGGTAGGAAGACTCATCTTTGTGAGTTCAAATCTGGTCTCAGATAGTGACTACATGTGTGACTCTGGGCAAGTCACTTAACCCTGTTTGCCTCAGTTTCCTCATCTGCAAAATGAGGTGGAGAAGGAAATAGCCAGCTACTATCTTTCCTGAGAAAGCTCCAAATGTCACAAAGAATTGGACACGATTAAAAAAAAATGACTGATTAGTTGTTGTGAGGATCAAATGGGATAATAATTGTAAAGTGCTTAGTAAACGTTCTCTAAATGTTTTCATTATTGTTAACATTATGATGATTATCATCCCCCAGTGAATGAAGGGTCCTTAAAGGCAGGTAGTGTCCATTTTGGCTTGAGGATTGAGCTGAATTAGTGTATTTTTCTTTCTGGTATGCTTTCAAGTTTTTCATAAGTCTTTTTTTTTTTCCCTGTGCTTACTGAGCGTGGTGGTTTTCAACTCTTAAAGCTTCTGGCTTTGACCATATCTTGCTTAGCATATCACTCCCAAGCCATCTGCCTTCTGTTGTGGCTGGGCCCCTTTCCACGAGAAGCTTTCTAAAGCCTTTAGAAGCCAGCTAAGCACCGGCTTTTCACTTTTATGAAACCTTAACTGTTTCCTTCTGCTAAAGTGCTTTCTTCTATTCATTAATGACCCTATCATGTTAAGAAATATTATACCTCTTCTACTTGAGGTCAGCCTCCTGTTCAAGGAAAGTCTGCTCTGACGTGGTTTATGGATTCAGGTACACCATGGTTCTGTAGGCAGCTTCCTCCCCCCCCCCGGTTATGCTTGTTGGATTGCTGAAAGCATGTATATAATATATATGATATGATATGATATGATATGATGTAGGTTTTAAGGTTTGTAAAGTGCTTTACATGTTACTTTATTTGATCTTCAGGAAAACCCTGGGAGGTAGGGGCTATTATCATTCCCATTTTACAGAGAAGGAGAGTGGTTAAGTGACTTGCCTAGGGGATCACAGGAAATAAATATTAAGAGTTGAACTCAGGTCTTCCTGACTCCCAAGTGCAGTCCTCTGTGCATTGTGCCACCGTGTCCTTACAATTCATGCTGTTTCCTGTTATTTTGCCTTCCCATTTGCATCAGGCAAGCCCTTAGTGGTTCTCCCAACAAAAAAGAGGCTTTGTGAAAGTAGAAATGGGTGTTAGAATAAGGCACTGGGGGCAGGAACAAAGCCAGTCACTTTGTAGACAGGCAGCGTGAGATGCCGCCTTGGATGCGCAAAGGCATGGGTGAATCCTAATGTGGTTTCAACCTTTGATGACAGATATATTCAAATACGCTAATACATTAAGCACTAAAATTCGACACTTGTTAATAAAAATCAACCCTTTTCAGTTCTGAAGCCAGCTTTAGAAAGCTTGCTCAGTATTAACTGGGAGTCTCTGATAATATTGAGTACTGTGCAGATGTATGCTGTATACAGAGCCTATCTGGTGGTCTATATGGAATCTGACAAATCCATACCGTGCATCCCCGTACAGGTATTTTAAGCAAACGTAGCCAGGTTTAAATGACCCCAAACCTCTGATACTTTTTCTTTGTAACTTGGGAGTCCAAACAACTGTGTCTGTTGTGACATGGGGCATATATAGCAAGCTCTTTTTCTTTCTCATCGTATGACTTATTTCCTTCAATCCTGAAGAGAATGTAGTCCTTTTCAGACAAAATCTTGGGACGAAGGAAGGGAAAAGCTAATCTGCCCTGTTCCTAGTGTGTTTCTCCCATGTGTATATCTCTCTGCCTGTTGCTGGTCAGGAAACTGCTGTGATTCCTGACAGTGGTGGTTTTTCTGAAGCAGAACTTCAGGTTAAAACAATGGACTTGGAGCCTCATTAACAATCTCTTTCCTTCTCCTGTCCTGGTCTCTTTTCCTTAAGAAAGCTCAAATAATAGTGAGGATCAATAACTGACACCCAAGCCCTGTAAATGAAATAGGCACAACATAAAATTACTCCTCGTCCTGTGAACATGGGCGACGTGCCTGGAATGAGCACAAATAGATGAGGTAGCCTAGGAACTGAAGACCTCTCCAGCAGACAAAATTGACAGCATTATCACAAGAAGCACAAAGAAGGAAATACACTAAAATACAATTTCTGGGAATTCTCAGCTCCTTCAATTTCTATGTGATAAAAGCAAGCAAAACAATATTCTGACACAGTGATAAATGGATTGCTTGACATTATTTTTACAGACACAATAAATGTAATTTCCTGATGAAGGCTGTAGATAAAATGTTGATGTAAATTCAGACTTAGGGGAGTGTCAGGATGAATAGGCGGCCTGTCTTTTTTTTTTTTCTTCAGTGATGGGAATATATCAACCATTGTATTCCTTGGATTTTTCTGTATGGGAAGGAAGAAATCAAGACTTATGGGAAAATTTACATCTTTTAACTGAACCCCTTACTCATTTTGGTATTCAATTTAATATGGTACTGAATTGATTCATTGCCTGTTTTGTGAAATGATTCAAGTAGGACTCAACAGTGGTCTTTCTTCCCCAGTCTGCCCTAATTTAATTTTATAACTTACAAAAATGGCCTTTATTAGGATTTTCCCAGGAATCTCAGCCAGCTTTCTGAAACTGTGACAGGTGCCTCAAGGGCCATTGCATATAATTGTACCAGTGTGGAGAGCCCTGCCCATCAGAAAGAGAAGTCTCAGTTCTTTCCTCAAAGCCTTGGCTTTATCTGATGTATAGATATGTTCAAAGGTTATCTCCTCCCATGGGATGGCTAAATCTTTTTTGTACTGTACTAAAACGTTACCAGCTCACACTCAGTAAGTTTTCAAAAAGAGGTGGAAAAAAATAAAAGCAGTGACATCATCCAGAAACTCTCCAGGTGAGAAGCCTTTTGCCTTACCTGATTTCAGTTGCTTTTTTAATCTCCCAACATTTCATTTGATGCCATTCTGAAAGCTTTCCAGAGATCAGGAGCCGATCACCATTTCCTTCTCAGTATTTACTGTTCTTTCTTTCTAAGGCTGCATAGATTGAATTCTCATTGACAGCCTAAGGGCTGAAGTATAATTGAATAAAATAATGTTATTAGTTAATATAAAAGAGCATAGACATATAAACATGTTCTTTCTTTTTCACTCCCCGCACCCCCAATTAGTTCCTACTTCTTCACTCAGGAATATGTTGTAGTTTTAAAATTAAACTTGATGTGAGGCAGTGGTGTAGATAGGCACTGGTCTTGGGAGTCCGGAAGACTTGGTTTCAAATCCCGCTTACTAGCTGTATGACACTGGGCAAGTCATTAAACTCTGTCTGCCTCATATTTCTCATGAGTATAATGGGGTGGTAGTGGTTTGGACTCCTCTACAGTCCTTTCTGGTCTTAGATCTATGATCCTAAAAGTATCTTTATTTGACAATGAAATCCATCCAAACCTTTTTTTTCCCTTTTGTGAAAACACATATATATATATCCCAAGTTGTTTTGGGAAGGTAAGTGTGGATTTCTTTTTTATATTAGTAATTTAATAATCTGGTCGTGCAAATAGTTCTCTTGTCTTCCAAATCAGGAGACATCAGTGATTACTGTTGATTAAGGTCCCTGTTTTTCTTTAAAACTGAGGAGCTATGAGGGGCAGCTAGGTGGCACAGTGAATAGAGCTTTGGCTTTGGAGGCAGGAGGACTCAAGTTCAAATTCAGCCTCAGACACTTGACACTTATTAGCTGTGTGACCCTGAGCAAGTCATTTAACCCTGATTGCCTCACCAAAAAGCAAAACAAAACAAAACAAAAAAAACTGAGGAGCTATGGGTCTTTCTTAATGTGATTTTTGATGAATTTTCGCTATGTTAATAAGAAAGTTTTGTTGAATAGCTCCTTAGTTCGATGCTTGCCGTGTGGTGGGCACCTAAATGCTTATTGATTTGACTAGTGGAGGTGACTATCAGAATTTCCTGGATAAAATGTTTGAGTTTAAGAAATTTATAGATCAGTTACAAAAACTTGCTCTGAGTTTATGTGGTCTTATGTTGCAAATGTTTTGTGCTCTTTATTTGGCATTTCTCGATGATGTGTCTTTATAGAATTTACTGGTCTCATCAGGAAGCATACAAATTGAACGCAAATTTTAAAATGTGAGGAATACCAAATTTGCATGTAGTCTTATGGTCAGTTACTGTAAGACATGGTCTTAACTCTCAAGGAATTTACATGCTAGCATTGGGAGACAACGCACACATGTAAGTAGATACAAGATAGCTGCAACCTATAATAAATTGAGAAAATTCCTGGCAATGAAAGAATTCTTTCTAGATATATGTCATAGGTAATTGCTCACCAAATTTTGTAGGTAGATTTTATAGTAAGTTTGTTAAGTGACAACACGAGATCAAAATTCTGTCAAGGATGAAAGGTTATAATAGATGGTTTCAGGCTCAGCGCCGTTTTATATATTTATTTGTGTTTCCTATTTTCCTATTTTTTTTTAAGGCAGTTGGAGTTAAGTGACTTGCCCAGGGTCACACAGCTAGTAAGTGTCAAGTGTTTGGTCTGAGGCCGCATTTGAACTCAGGTCCTCCTGACTCCAGGGCCGGTGCTCTATCCACTGCGCCACCTAGCTGCCCCCATTTTCATATTTTTGGATAGTTAACTCCCCTTCCTTAGACAGTTGGGTCTTTTGTTGGGACCTTTTTTCTAGTGAGAATGGCATCATTGTGTAGCATTAAGAACTGTGGAACCGGGGTTATTGGAACCTTCAGGTCTGGTGCTGGTCCTGCCAGCAGTTAACCAGTGTAATTAATCTTCATTTAGTCCAATTAATTGTTTGTCTATTGTAGGCCTTCAATAAATATTCCTTGAGCAAAATGACTATAACCTCTGTTACAGTTACAGTTTCCTTGTCCATAAAATGAAGATTTTTAATCACCCTAAGAAAGCTCATTCTATTTGCAATACTCTGCAAAGAACCCGATATACTGCTGAGCACATAGTAGATTCAGTAAATACATAAAGTTAAGAGGAATGAATAAAAATGTCAGAGTGCTCCTGTGTGGAGAGAGACTCCTTATTGCTTCTTTGATTCCTATGGTCATCCCTTTGAAGTCTGACGTAACTACATTTGATAACTCCAAACCAGTGCACTAAAGCTTAGCAGAGTTGTCAGTGAAATACTGGAGAGCAACTTGTTTGTTTTTAGAAAGCTTGTTAAAACCTTGACTCTAATAGGACCTCCAAGTGGAATTTCTTCATGGCTTCGTTTCCCCAGCAGTCATCTTGATAACCAGCAAACCAAAACCACGTGCAGAATCCAACAAAATCCCTTTAAGCCAGTGCATTAGTTTTTCTTGTATGAAAGATTTTTCTAGTCTGACCGAATTGCTCTTGCCTTTACTTATTTCACTATGGAATTAATATTTTCATGTATTTCAGGGCATTTGATCTTTGGTTTAAAGTTTGTCGCATTTTGTTTTTGAACAGATGAAGGTTCAAGCGTGGAAGATCCTGACTTTAATTGGGGTGAATATTTGGAAGAAACAGGCGCAGTTGCTGCCCCTCATACATCATTCAAACATGTATGTAAAAGCATCTTTCTTTCTTTTTTCTTTTTTTTCCTTCTTGCTTTGCATTTAGGTGGTTTAGGGCAAGTGCAGAAATAGATGCTAAACAGTGACCAAGAAGGAAAGAGACGTTGAAGAGTAAAGTATGGAAGGAAACTCAGCTGTTTGTTGTTTGTTTTGAGAAGCAGAGCTGACAAGTAAATGTGAGGAATCCGGTTTTACCTGCAAAGGGTCTATGATAGAGAATTCTCTCGTCCTTAAAAATAATATCATCCTCATTGCCCTCAGGTAATACTGATTTAAACATACCAGCCTAGACTGTAAACTTACTTAGTGTTTTTCTTCTCAGACGTCATAGAACCTAAGCGCGTAGTTTAGCAATGGTGGGCACTCACTCGGTGTATGTTGACCAGCTGCAGATGGTAGTGTGCTGGGTGTTGTGCAAAACAAATTAGACAGATGTTGTCCCTGCTCTCGAGGGGCACACAGCCTGAGGCAGGTGCCATCAATATGGACAAACAGAAAGTCTGCAAACTGAATGAGTAGTTCTAGGGATGGTCTGTTAAAACAACCAAAACTAGACAAGATATTTGTTCAGTGTTATTTTATACACTCTTACTTGTGTACAAAAGTGTTCTCTTATGTGAATATACACAACTTTGGGTCAGGTAGATGGCGATGAGAGAGTTTTGCTTTAAAAAATGTTTTATTGATTCCTTTTGTTTTTTACATCACAGTTGTTTCTGAATACTCCTCATCCCTTGTACAAAAATAAGCATTAGGTAAAATTCTGCAGCTGAGGGGCCCTAGCCTCCCTACTGAAAGGAAGAAGGTGGGTTTCCTGTTTCCTGGGACCAAGACCGATCATTACAATAGGAGAGTCTCATCCTTGTTTTAGCTGTCTTTTGGTTTCTGTTGTCACTTTATATATTGTTCTCTGGATTCTGCTCACTTGTCTGCAGCAACTTACATAAATCTCCCCATACTTCTCCAGTTTTCTAACATTTACCTTCTTATTATAATTCTTAGATTGTAAATTCCTTGAAGGCAGGGACTGTCTTTTGCCTTTTTGTATCTCTAGCACTTAGCACAGTGCCTGGCACACAGTAGCTGCTTAATAAATGTTTATTGATTGCTTGATTATGGTGCAGTATTATTTTATTGAATTAATCTACCACAGTTTATTCTGCCATTCCCCAGTTGTTGGGTACCTCCTTGACTTCCGGTTTTTGGCTTCTACTAAAAATGCTGCTGTGACTGTATACACATATATGGGGCCTTTTTTTGTTTTGTTTTTTTCTTACTGACCTCTTTGGGGATATAGCCAGTGTTGGGATATTTGAGTCAAAGAGTATGAACAGTTTAATTACTTTTCTTGCAAAGTTCCAAATCGTTTTCCAGAGTAGTCGCATAGATGAATCTACAACTGCCCCAACAATGTGTTAGAGTGCCTGTCTCTTTGAAGTTCCCAAAACATTAACTGTTTTTGCCTTTTGTTATCTTTTGCCAGTTTGGGAGGGTGTGAGGAGAGTGGTTTTGATTTGTATTTGTCCTAATGCTAATGTGAAGCCTTTAAAAATATGGTTGTTGATGGTTTACAATTTCTTTGAAAACTGTTCACATCCTTTGAGTACTTGTTGGGAGAGGTTTGAAAGAAAGCCTGTAGATTGGATTTAAAGAATTTTGTATAGTTCATTTTAAAGAACAGGGTTTATTGGCTCTTCCATCTAGTGGGGATGGTAGTTGGGTGGTTTGGGGTCATGGAGTCACTTTTTCTCGACTATGTAAGAAGTCTCATGTGATGACTTTGAAATGGAAAGCTTTATTTTTCCTGTTCTCTTTTCTATTTCTATATACTTGTACCTATTCTTTCCATCAGGGTGTTTACTTTTAGTCTGAATATATTTGTTAATATTTTCCAACTTGAGATCCTAGTAGCTTTTAACTTTAAGCATAGTGGCTGAGGTTCAGCGGTCAAAGCAGGAGATTCTTGTGTGGTTAGAAGTACTCAGTTATAAGTCACTATGAATTTATATAAAATTTGTTGAATCTGAGCCAAAGAAAACAGTCCTTATCATTAATATTGTTTCTCCATAGAGTACAGATGACATATTCACCAGTGGACAAGCATCCAAAGAAAGCACAATCCTTTTCTTAATTGGATTATTACTAAAATAAGGAAATTGTATTTAGCAGCATTATAGAGGAAGTTAAGCTTCAGGATATGTGCTTTTCACTGTAAATTTATAACTATAAACATTGCTTTGTAGGTAATAGGAATTTGTCTGAGGAACACATTTTTTTCTGGGGCAACTTTCCCAAATGTTTAGGGCAAAAATTGATCTGAGACTCATGTACTGAAATAAAGATACTGCCTTGTAATTTCCCTCCTTTAGTGCTTGTGCTGAATCGCCCAGCTTGGCAGCTCTATTGGAAGTGGAATGTTCCACTAGGAAGGTGGATGCAGAGTTCCCTTTATTCAAACTCTTTACTTCCATCTTCTCTAATGTGAAGGATTCTTTTACCTCCACCTTTCAGGGGTGGACCTTTAGTGCTTAGAATGACTAGCCACTCGAGAAACCTCAGAGCGTTAAGAATTAGGCACGGCCTGACAGTGCTAAAAGAGCCAAGTGTCAGAACTGCTTTTCGTAGATGTTTTTCATACCTGCGTATAGAAGGAAAGAACCAAGCTTTTATTACGCACCTACCATGTGCCATGCATGCACCTTGCAGATATTTAATTTGTTCCTCATAACAACCCAGGGAGAGATAGGTGCTACTATTATCCCCATTTTACAGGTGAAGAGACTGAGGCAGAGGTTAAATGACTTGTCCAGGGTCACCACAGCTGCAGGCCACCAGTATGTGGTATAATCAGTTATACTTCTATACTTCAGTGATCCATGATTTCATTGGTGTGGGTGTGCTGTTCACTGACACAAATCACAGCCTTCTCTGTGCTTTGTTAGTTTTGATTAATTGCTGTAATTGAGAAAATTAAATCAGCCCATGGTCCAGTTAGAGATGCCCTGGCATTATCTTTCAGGCCATGGATGTTTGTATTCTACTAGATTGTGAGCTTCTTGAGGGCTGAGAACATTTCTTCTTCCATGCATTCTCCATAGGACAAATAGTGGTTTCCACATAGGTATTCATGCATTGGGTGGATGCTGATGTCTTTTGATACATCATCAGTGAGACATTGTGAAATTTAGACCAAGCTTGGTGTGTTTTTTTTGGGTTAGCAAACATGTTGGTAGATTGCTGAGTTTAAAAACATGTGTCTGCTGAGGTTTTAGAATAATAATATTAATATTGTGCATAATTTTCAGCAACAGTTCCCTTCCTTATTTGTTTAATCAGGGCACAGTTGGGTAGGCCTTTGCATCATTATCGATCCATATTAGCTATGTATATCACCTCTCCCTACATTGCATGTTATAATCATTGCAATGTGTTTCTGATTCTGTAAGGTGGAAATCAGCCTTCAGAGCAGCTTCCAGCCTGGGATGAAGCTAGAAGTAGCTAACAAGAACAATCCAGACACATATTGGGTGGCTACCATCATAACCACATGTGGACAGCTCCTGCTGCTGCGCTACTGTGGTTACGGAGAGGATCGAAAGGCCGATTTCTGGTGTGACGTGATGACGGCTGATCTTCATCCGGTGGGATGGTGTACGCAGAACAACAAGGTGTTGATGCCACCAGATGGTAAGTTCTACTCATCTGTTCTCCATTTTGAAGACTTTCTTGCTTCTTTATCCTCATGTTTGAGGTTGCCACAGGAGTGGAAAGGAAATCATAGATATTGAATTGGAATCCTAAAAAACTGTTAATAGTAAAACACCCCTGTAATATTTTTTGGAGCTAGTCCTTTATTTTGTTATCTGAGGAGTGGGGTTAGGGTTTTTTTTTTTGTCTTTTGTTTTCTTAGCAGGGGCAAGGGGTGGACAAAGAATCCATTTTTTGATGTCAGAGTCTGATCTGACAGCTTTGTCATCCATGGCCTTTAACAGATAAGGTGTTTGAGCACAAAGCTAAAATTGTTTTGGGATTTTTTTTGTGTTTGTTTGTTTGTTTTGACAGTGATGGGGGAAGGAAAGCTGAAGGGAAAATGCCAAAGAGAGAGTCTGGTTTTCTCTTTAGTGATTGATGACATCATTTTTTCTTTTACTTTGGGTAGCTGACATTTTGAACACTACCTTTGAGCATCTTAAATAGCCTTCCTCTAATAAGCTTTAATCTGCCTGGTTGTCAAGAGACGGTTGTAGTGTGAAGCATTGAGAAAACCAAACAGATGTGGAAAAATTACATCACTCTCAAGGGAGCTTGTGAAATTTCTATCCCTAAGGTCACTCTAAAACTGGATTAGGCTGAATGCTACAAGTAGAATTTAGGAAATTGCTCTCTTTTGCTGTTGAAATGAGAAAGCTTCTGCCTCAGATCTCATGATTTTGGGGCCACATTCTACGTCTGTGCTTTCTGTACAGCAGATTCAACTGTATTGAAAATACAGCTCTTCCCCTGTACTTATTTAATGTAGGACTTACCTTCAAAATGTAAGTGTTTTAGATTAACCTGTTGGTGTTAAGAAGTTGTGATGTTTTAGAGTTAAATGGCAAATTGGCTTTACACAATGTGTTGTAAATCACTTTAGTTTTCCAAGCCATGAAACTTACTGGTCTTTTAAGATGCCTGATCCATTGGAAGTAAGGCTTTTTTTTTTTGTGGGGTGGGTCTTTATTGGGATATTTATGCTTTCCTGCCTGGTCCTTCTTATGGTAGTTCAGTACACTGATGAAAAAGCAGGCTTATGTTGGGGTTACAGTATGTTACTGTGCACACAGCTGGTCTGTATGAAGATCAACTCAATGACCTTGACCATTGACAACATGTTCTGACCAACTGAGCTGCAGAAACCCAGAACATTTCATCTTCTAAAGAAGTTTAAAGCAACATTGACACAGCAGCAGTAAAGGCTTTTTCAGGAAAATAAACCTTGAACTGAAGTTGGTGACCTATGTCTGCAGCCCCTGCTACTGAGGAGATGGAGGCTGGTGAATCATTTGAGTTTGGGAGGTCTGAGTAGGGCTGTAGTCAAGTGGGTACCCTCACTAAGTTTGGCACCCCCCAATCAGGAAGGGGGTAAAGAAGGACACACACACACAGAAGGAGGGGGAGAGGAATGTCAGAGTCACAGAGACAGAGATGGATGCAGACAGGGAGAGGTGGAGGGAAGGGGAGAGAATGAGAGTGAGAGAAACGGAAACACGGATGAATGGAGACAGGGAAGGAGGGGGAGAGAGAGACTGATACATGGCACAAGGGAGAGAGGAAGAGAAAGAGGAAGGGGGTGGAGAGAGAGAGAGAGAACGCACTGCTCCTGTTCTCTTGTGATTGGTACTAGGTTAATTATTTGCAGTTTTTCTATCCTTTTTCCCTCCATCTCCCCTATTTGATTGATTGCTGTTAAAAAATTTCATTGTTACTTATAAAATACTTGGTTTTATTGTTTTGAGGGAGTTTTTTCAGGCAAAAACCTTTATTAGCTGTTTTGGGGTCAGGTTCCAGTTGTAACTTAGCTTTTATATTTTCTCTAGACCTTAATAAACAAGCAGTATGAGAATTGGCCTGATAAACAATTCTGGATTTGGAGTCAGTTAACCCTGGGTTTGAATCCTGGCTTCTCTACTTCCTATCTCTGTGATTTGGGGCAGTCCACTAAACCCTTTGGGCTCATAGAATCTAGTAGAGTGAGTGATACATAGGCCCCTACATAAATTGAGTGAGTTGTAAAAAGTGAGGTTTGGAATAGATATCCCCAAGATCCTTTCAAGCTCTAAATCTACGATCTGGGTGTATCGTAGAGGATGGGACATGATGTTTTAGGTTGAACAGCGTAACTATTTGGAAACACTTGTTCCATACACCAAGATCCAGGCCAAATTTATAACATTTTTAGGAACCACTTCAAACAAACAACATTAATAGTATTGTAGCATAATAGTCATAGACAAGAGACAGTATAGTATCATGAGTAGAAGAAGGTCTATCTTAAAGTCAAGAAGACCTGGGTTCAAGCTATGGTTCTGACACATAATAGTATGATTATGAGAAAATCACTCACCTTCCCAATGTCAGAGATGACTCTTTAAGACTGTAAGTTAACAATTAGTTACTGTTTTGGGGGGGGGAGATTTGACACAAAGAGTTCCTCACATTGATAAAATCACAGATTTGGACTCCCCCAAATCCAGAACAGCAGCAACAATTGATGCACTACCTTTTTTTTTACATTGAGCTTTCAAGCCTGTGAGGTAGGTAGTATTATCCCCATTTTTCAGAGAAGTAAACTGAGGCTTTTTCAGGGAGATGAAGGGGCTTGTCTTTTAGTCACACAATTAGTGTTGGAGGTAGGGTTTGGGCAAGTCTTCCTGACTCTTAAGTCCTGCAAATCATCCGCTATGTCATGCTGTTTGTCTGTGGTATCTCTTTGGGATATTAGAAGAAATACCCAAATATTTGGAGATGATTTTCTTCTTGGTATGTACTATAAATTCCTCAAAAACTTTTTCTTTATTGAATTTTTTCCATTTAAAAATTCTGAAATACATAAACTTTGCCAAAATGAGACTTTCCATATATGCTGTAGAGCAATAGAAGTTAACGCATGCAATTTCAGATCTCTTATAAAAGTTTGCTTTTTTTCCCCCCAAGTATATGCAATTTTTATCCTGTTATTTTTTGCACTCTTGTTTCTGATTGCTTCTGGACTATCTTCTCTTCTATAAAATTCCTCAAACTTCACTGATACGAACTAGCTTAATAGTAGAATATTAAAAATATTTCCCAGGTAATAATAATAATATTAATTATAATGCTGTAAGGTTTGTAAAGTGTTTTACAAATATCACCTCATTTTATCCTTACAGCCATCTTAGGTGGTAGGTACTACTTTTATCTCCATTTTTACAGATGAGGAAACTGAGGCAAATGACTTGCCCAGAATCATATAGCTATTAAGTGAGGCTAGATTTGAACTCAAGCCTTCCTGACTCCCAGTCAGTAGAGTGGATAGGTGACTTTTGTTCACGGAGCCACATTGTTTTGCTGTGAAGCTGCCTTGTATATGAGTTATTTATAATGATGTCCTTTTGCTAGTTGATTACTAAATCCCCTGGGGAGGGATCCAGATTAGCCCTACCTTAGAATGAATTTTTTATTGTGAATAGCACCAGTACCCTGTGGGAGCTGATGGGTTCATTTACTGAAGAATCCCTAGCATTCCTTGAAAAGAGTATGTTTATTAATCAATTCTCTTTTCTCACATGGATGAAATGTGTCAGCAGTCACAGTTTCAGAAACACTCTCACATTTATAACCTACTGATTTGTACTGTTAAACAATACCCAGATAGCCTAAATATGACAAATTCAAAATGAAAAACAGAAAAATCTTATAAAAAGGGAACCTTAAAAAAAAAGAAACTGAGGAAAAAAATGGTACCTAGTAACAACACTAATAGAGTTGAAAGGTTTATTATCTTAACAATATTAAATTATATTTATTTGAGGATGTTTCTCTTTTATTTTCTTTTTAAAAAAACACTTTAAAAATTTAGCTAATAATCAATATGGCTTAGAAATCTACAGCACAGAGAACAAAGTCAGGAAATAACCAAGGTCATGGGGCAAGAGGTTTTATTGATTGCTGTAGTACAGAATAATTATTGCTTTGTAGCCAGAAGCTGCTGTTCTTCAGGGGAACAGAATAGAATCTCCTTTTGATCCAGGATCCTTGTTTTTGGATTTTTGAGCCTTGGAGAGGCAACTATAGACCCTTTAAACTGTGTAGTTGAAGCTTGTGACTATTTTAGGTTAGGTATGGCTAAATTTGGAAGGTAACATACTAAATTTTAACCTGAACAATGAAAATGCATGATGTGTTCTGGTTTGAGTTGCTAGAAGATAATCTAGACATTCTTTTATTAGTAGTGTATTATAGTGGAAAGAGCCTTGGACCTCGGAGTCAGGAGAAGTAGATTTTGGTTCCATTTCTGGCACTCGCAAAGTGTATGTCCTTGGACAGGTCACTCCTTTGATCTTCAGTTTCCTTATCTATAAAAAAGGAGGATGGAATGAAAAGTCCCCTTCCCTGTAATCATCTATAATATGCCTCTTTTGAAACAACTAAAGACTACAAGGTTTTCTCCCAATTTCACATGTGTACCATGAAGCAAAGAGAGATTGTCAACCTGTACTACATTTAATTGGTGATTCCATGATGGAGTTGGGACCAAAATGTTGGTCCGTTGAAACCTAGTCCAAGGATTCAGTGTGGAGCTCAAAAGTCAAGTGGTGCCGCTGGCGACTGTAAATTTTAAATTGATGCATAAAAAACCACTGTATTAGGATGATTTTGGCCACTAAATAGAGACAGTTATGGAAACCGAAGTCCACATGTTTCATGTAAACAGAGAGAACAAATAGAATTTCTCAATACTGTGATTTTGGAGCAGTCAGGTCAGTGAGGTGACAATCATAGCTACAGAGTTGGGTTGAGAATGCCTACGGGGATGAGACTGCTTCCATGTTTGGGTGGTGTCATCACTTTCGTAGGCCAGACAGTGAGAGGTCTTGGGAGGGGGAAGGGAAGAGAATACACATTTATTAAATGCCTGCTGTGTGTGAGGCACTGTGATAAATGACTTC